CAGCCTGAAGATGCACAGAGATCAACAGATAAAAGAGCAAGTGGCCCAGTAGATGAACGTTGATTTCCACCCACCCCAGCACACAGATGCAGAGGCAGGTGGGTTTCGTGCACGCAGAGAGGGGCAGGCGGGTGTAGCCCCATGCTGACCTTGGCACAGGAACACACTGAAGGCAGATGCTGAACACGGGTGATGTGCACGTGACAGAGGTAATCTCTCTCAGCTTTGTTTCCCTCAGTGCACAGGTATAACCCCTTGCTCTGCTGAGCTCCTGCCAACACACAAAGTGAGAGCAAAACCCACCACGTGCTGCCACGTACGAACATGTCGATGCCCTCGGCTCTGCCTTCTCAGCACTGCAAACATCAGCAGCTCCATCCATGAGCCACCCAGCCTCACCCTAACAGAATAATTGGAAGGGACCTCAGAGATCATTTAGATCCACCTCCCACTAGATCAGTTTGCTCAGAGCCCCTTCTAGCCTGCCCTGCACACAGCCCAAACCAAAGCCCTCTCTGATGCTCTGCAGGGTCATGGACATCAGATGTCCCACCAGGGCTGGTGAAATCAGATTTCTCCAGCATCACTGTGCAAACCTGCAGCCCCCACCTGTGTCCTCAGGACACAAGGGGCTCCTGGCAGCCAAGACCTGATGTTATGGATACACAGATGGGCAGCCTGGGGGTGCCAGCCAGAGCATTTTATAAGAGTATCACTAAGGGAGGAAGCAGTTTGCAGCTAACTTTCTGCCAGTTGAACTATCATATTTTTAACCTTCACAGTTAAAGCAGTGGGGTCCTATCTGTGAGCTCAGTTACAAAAGCAAGGAGTTGCTTATGCTGATGCAACTCCCTGTCCTGGGTAAACCCGACAGATGTAAAACAGCATTTGCATGAGGAGTCACACAAATTAACTCATTAGTACAGAGACAGGCGTGTTGCTCAGCTGGAATAAGCCCTGCGCTGAAAGCTCCTGGGATTAGGCAGAATGCAGGATCTAAAATGCTAATTAGCTCTTTCCTCTTCAAAGCTGCCCCTCATCCTGCCAGCAGCTGGAGAAGCAGGATGGAGAGAGGAGCAAGGTGGCAAACACTCCCCTAAGGCTTCCTGCAACCTCCCCCCACGGACTGGGTAGAGTCACATCCCTGCTCCCAACAGGACAACTGCTCCCAACTGCTCCCTGGATCTTCCACACCCACATCATGGCATTCCCAGCTCCTGGCAGGGTATTTCTGGCATTTATTCCCCTGTAACATGGGATAACAATTCCTTCTGGCAGGGTATTCCCAGGCTTTGTTGAGTCATGTTTATAAGGCACCTGTGGACTATTCCTGCAAATGTCCAAGTCTTGATGCCAACCAAAACCAACCTCATTCCTGTCCAGCTCCATGAGGAATTTCCCAACTTTTGCCTGTCCTGGGGTTACTCTTCCTATCACAAAGGCCTCCTCTTGCTAATTTTGCAAATGTTTTTCTTCCCTTTATAAGCACCATTACGTGGTTACTCATCTTTCCGAGTACCTTGCATAGTTGTTGATCAGTCCTTTCCTTGGGATTTTTGCCTTACTTGATTCCCTGTCTTTGTCTGGGGAGGGAGGGGAGGAAAGAAAGAAAGAAAATGGACTGGGGTGAGGAATGATGCTCTGCTGACTCCAGGAGACACAACAGATACCTCACTCATCTTGAGGGTCAAATGTCTGTGCTGGTTTGATCAGATGTCAAGTTGCATTTATACTCTGGGCCCTGTTGGGGCTTGAATTACATTTCACATTTGGCTCACTTCTGGGGTCAAATGTCCCTCCTATTGGATAGAACAAGAGGAATTCTTTTCCCCAAGCAGACTGTGCCAGCCTGAGTCTGGATCTGTCAGCACTCCCATTATGTTTCAGGCTCCCGTATCTCTGCACTTCGTTCTGAGATGAACCCTTCCTGGGCTGATGAGAAGTGCAGGCAGGAGCACATAAGCCATCACATCCACCAGGATGAAGGGAGGGATCAGCTGGCTTTCAGATCATTTTGATGGTGTTTTATTCAGGTTTTTTTGGGAGGAGTTGGGGGTGTTTTTGCTCTCTTCCCCTCCCAAGGTAGCAGCTCTGCAGGGCAGGGGGTGATGGGGGAGAAGGAAGCAGCCCCTGGTTCTGGCTTTACCATGAGAGCACAGAATCTTAGGGGCTGGAAGAGTCCTCAAAAGATCATCTAGTCCAACCCCCCCCCATGCCAGAGCAGGATCAAATGCTGCAGAAGCTCCTAAGGATCAAAAATTCCAAAAGAGGCTGAGCTCAGGCTGATGCCAGTGTCCTGCAGGAACACAAAGCTGCCCAGGGACTGCTCAGCACAGGAGCTGCCCCAACCACTCCATCTCTGGAGCTCTGGCTGTAAAATGAGAATAATCTCTTCTGGGTGATGGGAAAGGATGACTCAAGGGCTTAAGCAGCTGCTGGATCTCTGGGCAGAAAGTGTAGAGCATTGCACTGACAGGCAGGAGCCATTTAAACCCCCCCTGGATTTAAAGCAGAGCAGGGGGAGAGATGATAAAGTGAATTCTGCTTTCCACCTAACTCCTTCAGGGATTCTGAAAGAAAAATTGCCAGGCAATACAGAATTTCCTATTACAAAAACCATCAAACTTCTCCCATCTCTGGACCCTGAAGTATTTTCCAGCTGAAAAGAAGCCCCATATACAGGTGCACTTCTTGCTCTCCAGCCCTTCCCACCCCCCTAGAAGCCTGGAGGGGCTGGAAGCCCTTGCAGATACAGGGGATTTCACCGTGACAGTCTCACCCCAGGCCATGCCAAGTGTGCAGGTGCCAGGGGAGCTCACTGTGTTTCTGCACAAAGTTGGGGTAAATAAGCAACTGTGCCCTAAAACAGGCAAAGGGAAGCTAAGATTTCCCACCACTAATGCTGGACCCAAACTGGGCTCAACATGAAGAGAGCTGAGAGCTGCAGGTGCCTCCTGGTGCCCAGTGCAACCAGTTTAAAACAAAAATGGGAATACAAAAACCAACCTCAACCCACCAGACTCATCTATTCCAGTATGATGGCTTCAGTAATTAGCTTGTATCATTTGCCTTTGTCCCCAGGGATGCCCAGGACTGAGTGACAGCCCATGTGTGCTGGGCTGTCCCAGGCTGGTGATTTAGGGGCCTCTGAAGCAGGATTGTGCAACCTGGCTCCTGCTGTTTAATGTACTCGTTCAGGTTACAACAGGTTTAACAAACAATAAAGAACATCTGGAAGCCCCATTAAAGTAGAAGAGTTGTGCTGTTAGTAATAAAGTCATGACCAGTGCTATAATGTGCAGGTAAATAAAGGGAGACAAGGAAGGAAGGTGGGTGAGGGGGGAAGGCTGATCCCACCTTCCTTGGCCAAAGCTCATGCTGGGTGTGAACCACCACTAATGTCCTTGCAGGGCATGAACTGGGATGCTTGTCCTTCCTCCCTGCTCCCCAGGGCAAGGTTAGGGGTGTCATCAGAGCAGGAACAACCTTTCTGAGCAACAGCCTAACATACTGCAAAGGCAACCAATAGGTTTTCACCCTGTTCTCAGTTGAGAACAGGCACCTCAATTCCAGAGAGATGTCCAGGTGCTGGAGCAAGGACAGAGGAGGCAAAGAAGCTGGGGAAGGGCCTAGAGAATAAATCTGATGGAGAACCCTTGAAAGAGCTGGGAATGTTTGGTTAGAGGAAGAGGAGGCTGAGGGGAGAGCTCATCAGTCTCTACAACTACCTGAAATGTCATTATGGAGAGGTTGGTGCTGGTCTCTTCTCACAGGTCATCAGTGACAGAACAAGAGGGAAGGGCTTCAAGCTGCACCAGGACAGGGTCAGACTGGACATTAGGAGCAATTATTTCCCAGCAAGAGTGGTCAGACCCTGGACCAGGCTGCCCAGGGAGGTGGTGGAGTCACCATCCCTGGGTGTGTTGAAGGGTGGTTTGGATGTGGTGTTGGTGGAGATGGTTTAGGGGAGAACTTTGTAGAGTAGGGATGATGGTTGGACTGGGTGATCCCAAGGGGCTTCTCCAACCTGAATGGTTCTGTGATTCTATGATTAGGCAGATATCCAAATAACCACTGGTCTCTGGGTTAGATACACCATATATGACTCACTAGACTTTTGAGCCCCAAACCCCATGAGCAGGGGCCCACCCTGACCCTGCCCCAGGCCATACACACCCCGTCCACAGAAATAAGAAGCTGGCAGCAGCTTGAGCTGGATGGGAGTCACCACATGGCCACTGTTCAACACTTGCCACATCACCTTCCCACCAAACAACCCTGCATGGCCCACGGTGGATGTGGCTGGGGGCAACAGGGCCCCACAGCTGAACAACCCTGCTCAGCCCAAAACCAGGATGCTGAAAACATGAGCAGTGAACTGGCACCTTCCCTCCTGAGGTGCCCCAAGGGTGCAGCATCAGGCACCTCAATGATGCATGGAGTCCCCAGCCCACTTCAGCCATGCCAGGCCACCTCAGGGGGGACCTAGGTGGGACAATCCCCCATCTCCTGGCCAGGAGGACAGGGAAGGACATGCTGAAGTTCTCATCTCCCAGCAAGACCTAAGTGTGGGCTTAATATTATACCTGTTTAAGGCTTCACTGAATGGACATGCCTGTTTCATATGTATCCAAGCCCTGAAGGCTCAGGCACCTGTGAGAAGCAAGAACTTCTATTCTGATCCTCCATGTGTGGGTTTATAGCTCCAAAACAGGAAACCTCTGATTCCTTTTTGTCCCTGAGCTGCCTAACGGTTCATCTGCTTCAGCACAGGAAACACTCCCCAGGAGGGAAGGAGACACCTGAACCACACACAATGCTTGGAAACCTCCCCTCCTCCAGAAACACCAACTGCACCTTCATTTTGAGGGAAGGATGCTGAGACAAAGCCACTCAGCCTCGCTGGAGAGCCATGGCTTAGCATTTGTGCTTGGGCATAGCCAAAGTCCCTTAGAAAATCCTCCCCACCCCAGAGCCCATCCAAGCAAATTAACTCTTACCTGGTTTGCTGATAGAAACTCCTGGGCATTGTCATTCATTCCCATATACATGTTCTCCCCATCAAACTAAGAAAGACAAAGGAAAGCTAGAGTCAGTGAAATGCCACCAGCACACCAGGGTTACCTGCATCCCAAATACTTTCTTGGCTCTTCTCACCAAGATTCCCAGCAGAAAAACCTGAGCAGGTCCTTTCAAATGTTTGAGCACAGATGAATGCACAGAGATCCCTGTTCTTGCCACAGGACACAGGAACATAGCATATTTCTGTTAATTCTCCAGTGAAATCATGAATTAGTCACTCCAATTCAAACAAATAAACCCAACCTGTGCAACCTGGTCTAGTGGGAGGTGTCCCTGCCCATGGAGGGGGGTTGGAATTAAATGATCTTTAAGATCCCTTCCATCCCAAGCCATTCTATGACATTATATGATCAAAGCACTGATCATCCAAATGAAGATCTTGCTAAAATTCCCACTAGACCAGGGACAATTTTGAGTGATGGAAATTCCCAAGACAGATGGCTCCCATTCCATCCTCTTTCAGATACCTCCAGACTCCTTCAACCACCAAAACAAACCTAGAGCAGCCATGCAGAAAGCCAGTCTGGGCCATACATGAGGGGGTCTCCATGCAGAGCCACATTCCCTGTCCTGACAGTTGGTTGTTTGCAAACTCTGGCTGCAAGGAGACAGAACCCCCCCCCATGTCCTCTGGCATTCCCCTCTGTCCCTGCCATCCCTGCACACATCCCAGCTCCCTTCACACATCCCTGTTCCCTTCACCCCATTCTGTGCTGCTAATCCACTCATTAGGCTACAAAACCCCCGTGGAGAACTGCAAACCTCTCCTCATTAATTAGCTACAGCAGGAGCTTTTCACTTGCTCCCATTCCAAAGGAAGGAAAGGAGAAAGAAAAAGCCCTCCAGGATTGTCTCCAGCTCAAAGCAGGGCTGGGCAGTTCTCAAGGCTAAGTTCACAAATTAATTATGGCAATAAAATGGGCTCCACCATAAAACACTCCTGAGACAGGGGGGAAGGTGCCAGCTGTGAATGACACCACACACAGAACAAGGGGAAGAGTCAACTCTTGCCCTTACAAACCAGATGGTGAATTGCAGATCATTGACCCCTCGTGTGCCCTTCTCAGTCCCTGATACCAGTTATGCCTTAACAGAAATAGGTTCTATTAAGACCAATAAAAAAAGAAATCTAAATAAAAGCAGGTGAAGGTTTGCAGAGTAGGCTATTAATTACATCTCCTTTTCTCAGAATGACACAGGATTAGCTGTTAAAGTCAGTGGAGTTAGTACAGCCAAGTGGGGGTGACAGGGCTCTGCTCAGTGCCAGAGAGCACAGACACCCTCTAGTTGCCAAATTATCCTCTGGGATGGCAGAGCCAAACAATTAAAAGCAGCAAAATGAGCGTGGGTGTTGTGAGACTCATTAACTAACACCGACAGCAGCAGCGAGGAAGGGGATCCCTGGAAAATCCCAGGGTTTCATTAAACCCCTGGATGGGGAAGAAGCTGTGGGATGCAGCCAGCATCTGCAGCCTGCTGGGGCGTGCTGGGACCAGCAGCCAGTCAGGTGTGATCTACTTTAAACTGGATTTTCCTTCCACCTGTGAAATGGTGACTAGCACAGCCAACTCCTGCTGACCCAGTTGTAGCCAGAGCTGCAGCACTTCCAGCTGGGAAGGCACCATGATTCCAGGGGTAGAGTCCCAGACCAGCTCCATGGCCTAAATCCCCTCTGCCAAGCCAGCAGAAGGTGCTGAGCTTGCTGGAGAGGCAGCACAGTCTGGTGGAGATGCTCAGCCCTGCAGCAGCAGAGCTTGGGCTGCACAGAAGAAGTCAATCTCTGACCTGGCATGGGCAGCAGCACCAAATTTTGGGAAGTCAGCCTTTTTGGAACAGGCAAAATCATGGGTCTGAGGTCCCAGTTCTGAGCTCTCTTCCCCAGCCCAAAAGCACCAGGTGTATCCTTGTGCTTGAGAGGGCTCCCCAGGGCTGTGCAGTGTGGGATGCAGGGCCCTTTCCATGCTCTGCTCTGTGCAGACACGTTGTGGGACACTGAAAAGCCATGGCAGCCTGAGACTGCACACTGAGATGGCCAGGTGAGCTGCACAAGAGCTTTCCAGCAAGCAGCCCTGAAGTGAGAGAAACATTCCAGTGGGGAGAGATCGTTCTGTCCATCCTTGGGACCAGCTGGGAATTTGCACAGCAGAACTATTTACTTCCACATCAGGAAAAGAACAGCTCTTAAGTAAAAGCTTTTCACACTGGAAGACTTAAATACACACATGGCTGTTCATCCATCCAACCATCCATCCATCCATCCACCCACCCATCCATCCATCCAGCCATCCACCCACCCATCCATCCAGCCATCCAGCCAGCCAGCCAGCCAGCCATCCATCCATCTCTCCCTCCCTCCCTCCCCATTCCTTGCACACAAGCACCTCACTTTTGTCCCACCCCAGCTCAGTGTTTTGCAGATCAAGACTAAGATCAGTTTGAAGCAGCTCTTCTCCAGAAAACAAGTCACCTGGGAATCTACATTCAGAAACCCAAAAAAAATACCTTTCACAGGGCTGGACAAGCACTCTGCCTTCTCTGCATCACTCTGTCAGAATGTACTTTTTAATGGCTTTCTAGTCCTCCCCTGCCCCTGCTCCACATTTCCTTCTACCCTTGATGCTCTCCTAGGAACTGTAATGAATCCTGCCTTCAGAATTACGTTGCCTCTGATTGCCAGTCTGAGCAGCCAGCCTGAAAATCAAGACTCAAAATGCAATGGGAACTTTGGAACTTCCTCATTGCTGATTGGATTTTTTTTTTCCCTCTCTCCTCCAGGCTATGAGGGTGCAAACAAATTTATTAGAAATTCTCCCATCAGGATATTATTTCAATTAGACATTTGCCACTTATACACCAGCCAGGTAGAGCAGATAAGTAATGTATTCTCCCTCTTCTCATTATTGTTTCACTGCAGAATGCACTTCAAAAACAATCAGCCCCATCATTGCAGGTAGATTTACAGCAGAAACAGACAATTTCATATTTCTCTTTGGTTACTAATGCTTCCTTCCTTGTCTCTTTGGTCTAACTCTGGGTGTGTGTTGAGCAACCCACAGCAGCTCTGGATCTGGGTGGATCCATTCATCAACCTCTCTGTCCTCAAAATGGATCAAACTTCCATTAAATGATGGATCACATGGAGCAGCAGATACCATTTTCAAGTCCTCATTTGAAACTCCTGTGCAGTTGTCTTAACCAGCCTTTTCCTCTTCAGGATTGATGTCATTTTTGTTATCCTTTGGCTAACAGAAGCAGCCAGTTCAACCCCCCAGTGGCTCACTGGGTTCTCACCCTCCCCTGCCTGAGATGAGGGTGAAGCTGAGGTGAGCCAGGATCCCTCCCAGCTCAGTGCTTTGCACCCATGACATTCACTTGAACACCTGGGAAATGCAAACCCTGTGGAGCCAGGTGGGGAAGCTGGGAGAGGCAGGAGGATGGGATTCATTGTTTTACCTCCATCTGAGACTTAGGCCAACTCTCCCCCAGCTTGCACTGACTTAGGTCAGAGATGGTTGCCTCGAAGCACAACCAAGGACCTCTCCTTCAAAAAGGGCTCATAAAGCCCCACGCTGCCAAATCCTAACTCAAACTTGTCTCACGTAACACGCTCAGGATAGAAACAACTCTACTCACCAGATTCAAAACCAAAACAACAAGAAAAAGCTCCCAGAAGACAGTGCCCAAATCCCCAGTGACCCTGGACACCCAGGCACACTGAAGGGCAGCACCACAGGTGACATCAACCCCAGGGCAGAGGAAGAGGCCCAGGTGGGACCCCATCTCCTGCCACAGGAGGTGACCTTGCTTGGCACCAGGGGATGAGCAGATGGGTGCTGTCAGCCCCATGCAGACAGGGAATCCCAAGGAAATGGGGTGACAGACACTGAGCCTGTAACCACTTCATTGGACTGGGTATTCATGGTCCAAGGAAGAGATGCTCGGACAGCTCTAGTTGGCAGGGTAATACCCTCTGAAATGTCATTTGTCATGGAGAATATACTTAAAAATACAATTATTTTACCTGGGCTCTTCTAGGGGAGCTGAAGCAGCCACCACAGCCCTGGAGGCAGAGCTCTGCCAGCACCCAACCAGCACAGCAGGACTCAGCCCAGCCTGGATTCCGACTGAATCCACTGAAATGCTTTTTAATTCGCTGTTGCTTTGCTAGACTCTGGTTTGTTATTTTTGTGCTAGGGAGTTATTTTCAAACCTCTAAACGTGCCCAGAGGTCACACGGGTCCCATGTTAATCAGATGAAAATGAGTAAGAAAAATAAACCCCTGCTGCAAGCTGGGACAGGCCCCAGAGCAAAGCAGCCGTGTGATCTCTGCTCTGTGCAAACACGGAGAATAAATGTTTGTTAACTGGGAAGGACCCAGTGGAAAGAAACACAACCTCCTGCCAAGATTCAGAGGTGTTACTTCCTCATGGATGGCACTGCCAGCTTGTAGTTTTATTCCGAATCTCATCACATCCTTCTGTTTCTTGAGAGTCATGAGCTGAAATGAAAACCTCAACTTTGGAAGAAAGATCTTGGCAGCACTTAAACCAGCAATGGCTTTGATGACAAGATCTCAAAAATCTTCCAAGCTTTTTATTTCATTTCATTTCATTTTTTTTTCAAGTGTGGTGGGTTTTGAGTTTGGTGTTGGGGTTTCTTCTTATTTTTATTTTTATTTTTTTAATTTCTTTTATTATTTTTTTTTTTTAGGAGTCTTCCCTAAATGTTAACACTCACTGTTGGCAATACTGGACCAGACCACCTGAACTTCCAACCCAGTAGGATCTGGACCTTTCAAACAGTGGCTTGTTAATGCAAACCCAACAGTACCTAAAAGGCATCATCCTCAAGGAGGCATTATATGCCCAGTGAAGAACAAACTGGATGTTTCTAGTGATTCCAGCTGCTCAGAGCAATAAGCACTTGCCTCTTAGTTTTGCCTTCTTGTGCCAGGATGCAGAAAAGGGGCAGCAGGTCCCTCTCATGACAACCTCATCTCCAAACTGGGTGCACTGGGGATGTTACCTTTTCCTGGATTTAGCTGGTTTTGGTGTCCAGCAAGTTCCACCTCAGCCACCACTAGCATCAAGACATAGAGTGACCTACATTAATGCCATGCAACAAAATCCTTTTAAGAGTTTTTAGTGAATAGAAGTTAGGATACAAGAAAAAGTCAATGCCATGTTCAATACTGCCCATTAAAAAAATTAAGAGTAATAAAAATACTGCAGCCCACGTGTTGCTGGGGCTGATTGAGCTGCCTCCTGTGGCACCTCTGTGCAGAAACTTGATTCTTCTTCAGAAAGTTCTACAGAAGTAGAATTTTTTCCCCACAATTATCTTTTAGCAGACAAGCATGATGTGAAGAGCACAACCCCATCCTGTTAGAATTGCATTTTGGCCGTGGCACTTCCAGCCCCACCTCCCCATCACAGCAGTTGTGCAGAGCACGAGGCACCCAAGTGCCCCAGGCTCAGCCCTACGGGTGCGCTGGGCACCAGCACCAAACCCAGCCACCCAGGTGCTAGGAAGGGTTGTCTGTGCCACGTCCCCAGGATGGGAAGTAGTCCCTTCAGCTCTGCCCCTGTCACTGCTGCCTGCTGAGCTGCTGCTGGGATTTCCTAGAGGAGTCATTCAGCATCGTGCTCCTCCGGGGAGCGCAGTGCCGAGGTTAATCTCTTGAACTGCAGCTTTCCCAGCAAGGTCTTTACACAACCTCTGGCCCAAAGTGATCTCCTTACTGTTATTTATTTGTCTGCTGAAATGCTTGGATAGCCCCTCAGTTGATCCTGTCAAAGAAGGTCAAAGGTTCA